ATAAAGAAAGCTGAGTACTGAAGAATTGATGCTTTTGAACTGTGGTGTTGGAGAAGACTCTTGAGAGTCCCTTGGACTGCAAGGAAATCCAACCAGTCCTTCCTAAAGGAGATCAGTCCTGGGTGTTCATTGGAAGGACTGATGCTGAGGCTGAAGATCCAATACTTTGGCCACCTGGTGGGAAGAGCTGACTCATTGGAAAAGACCCTTATGCTGCATGGGATTGAGGGCCGGAGGAGAAGGGGACAACAGAGGATGAGATGGTTGGATGGCATAACTGACTCAATGGACATGGGTTTGGGTGGACTCCTGGACTTCGTGATGGACAGGGAGGCCTGGCGTGCTGCAGTTCTTGGAGTCACAAAGAATTGGACATGACTGAGCGACTGAACTGAGTTATTTGCCCTTAGCATATACCAGGCACCATGATACTTTTTTAATGCAACAGAACAAAATTCATCTCCAAATCTATGAGGCAGTCCCAAGGCCCATTACACAGAAAAGAAAACTGAGGTATACGATAGGTAGGTAAGTTTCCAAAGGCTCAAGGCACCCAGAGAAGCAACATGATCTGTGTCCTGTGACTGTCCATCACGCATAGGCGGAATCCTCTTATGCATTTTGGGGGACTAGGGGGCACAGGCCACATACCTAGATTAGTTGCTGTCATGTTCACGAAGGAACCTCCATTCTCTCCAGGGCGTGGTCCAAGCTCATGGATATGCCCTTAATCACTTGCTGGGAATACCTGCTTGCACCCTAAATTCTCTCCCAAGGTTGCAATCTTGAACTTGCTGCTTTGCCATCCGGATTGAGGAATTATATTCCCAGGTGATGGCCTGAAATATGCTCTATTTCAGAGCACATTTTACCACAGTGAAATCTGCACATTTTACACACAGTGAGAGCACATTTTGCCACAGGGCACCGTGGACCTCAGCCACACGGTCTAAACCCTGTAATGGGGTCCTGCCTGAGTACTTTCATGTCTTCTTACACTGTCATCATGAGAAAAAAATTATGTATTCAAACATCAGTACCGATTTTCTCTGCAGAAAACACACAACGTTGTCTAGAGAGTCCCAGGGAGTCCTGTTTACAGGAACCAACAAGAGAACTCCATCTGGTCTCTATATCAGGTAAATAGGATCTCCTGGGCGAACCCTGGTTTTACCCCCACAGATTCTGTGCATTTGACTGCTGAGCATGTTTCATTTTGCACTTTGGTTGCTAAGAATCTCCGAGTTAAGCTGTCAGCCCGTTCCTAGAATACAGAACACAGCATGGCACGGATTACTGTGCATATATCTAAGTGGAGTCTGAATCATTTTCCTTACTCTGATTTTCCTTTCAATTTGATTCTTTATTGTGATGGATTTAAAAAAAAAAGCACACAAACTTACAAAACCATCTCCAAATCCTCTGAGGAATGGGGCAAGACAGAGAGAAATAGAGAATGGGTAGACAGGGTATTGCATGCCAGGTTCAGCGTTAACTGGATCGGGACCAGGTTGAAGATTTAGAATCTATCATGAAGCACAAAAACTGCTTCCCAGATCTTCCTCCTGCAAACCCTGGTTTGGGAACCTTCTCCTGGATCCCGTTACCTTTGCTGCGGCGACGGCTGCGGTACTGCTCCGTGTAGAATGTCAGCTGCGTTTCATCGTCCGCCTCGGACCCGGACGTCCCCTTGGTTCTCCCAAAGCTGATGCCCCCTGTGCAAGAAGCACCATCTGTCAGTCACTGCAGGCCTCCAGCAGCTTGTTAAATCCCCCATCCATCCCAAAGACCAGCAACCCCACCCCCAAGTGACCTGGGAGTTGGCATGATTTATAGAAGGAGTTCAGGCTCTGCAGTGATGCGGACCTGGGTTCTTATCACGGCTTGGCAGCCTTGGGGCTGTGTGACCTTGAGGAGATGCCTCCCTTTTCTGAGTCCTGGGTCCTTTCTGTCTGAGGTAGGGGAAAAGCTATTAATCTTGTGGGGTTGCTTTGAAGATTAAAGGAGGTATGATATGTAAAATACCTGGTCCTGGGTGGGTACCAGCTAATTGATAGGTACACTGTTGCTTTGTATGATAGATCTGCCTCTAAAAAAGCATTCCAGGTGACTCAATTTCACACACATTTCAGTCCAGTGCTTACTCTATGCCAGGCCCAGAGCCAGACACAGGGGAAACAGAGAGATGCCGCCCGGTCCTTGCCAGCCAGGGGATCATAAGCTAGTCATGGGGACAAATGGGATCCGAAGGAGCCTTTAACCTAATTCATGGCCATGTTTCCCGCACAGTGGGATGCTGGGAATACGGGAGAGGGCAATCCATCCCAACACGGAGAACCTGGGAAGGCTTTATGGGTGAGGGGTAGATTTAGGGCAGGGCTGGAAGGACGGATGGGCTTCAGTAGCAGAAACTGGATGTGGGAGGGGAGGTGAGAGCTGGAGCATCCCCAGCGGGGGAGGGGAGTGTGGGCGGGAGGAGGAGGCACCGCAGCAGCGTGCTGACGGGCAGGATCTGCGGGTGCCACCCAGGAGAAGCCCCCAAGGGCCACACCGAGCACCCTGGAGCTTAATTTGGGATGTCACGGAAGGTTCAAGAGGGAACGCAGACCGTCCTTTAAGCACGAGGTGCCGAGCGCTGTGTGATAAGCTCTGCAGCCTGCATCTCACCCCAGATTCGAAGCCCTCTTGGGAGGGAAGCATCATGACGCCCACTTTGCAGATGAAGGAACCAAGGTCCAGGAAAGGAAAGTGATTTGCGAACAGGGAGTGAAGTCAGACTCGGTACGTGGGCGTGACTGATGACCAAGCTCAAAGTTTTAACCACTGTCGCACTGCCTCTCAGTATAAGGCTCTGGAAAATGGGAACAAAAAAGAATCCGTGTCCTCCTCCTTCCTGGAGGTAGCATGTTGCAATGGATGGAGGAAGGAAAGGGACAACATCTGATCACTGTCCCCACGTGCGTCTTCAGCCACGAGCTGCCCCTGTCCCTTAGTGCAAATCCCCCCAATTCCCAGAAACTAAGAGCTGGACCTGAAGACAGCAGGGAACTCCAGGGTCGACCAGATGCAATTCCCCCACGTAAAGGCTCTTTTTTTAAAATGGAGTTGGCAGACGCCCCACGGAGATTCTGGAAGCAGTGGAAGAACAGAGGTCTCAGAGGCCAGTAGGCTTTTAAAATTGCCATTAAAATATTTTACTGTTGTAGAAAAGGGAAGAAGGAAGGAAGGAGGAAGGGAGGGAGGGAGGGAGGGAGGCAGAGAGCTGGAAGGAGGGAGAGAGGGAGGGTCTTTGGTTCACCCACACATAATGTTTGGCCAAGGGGAAAATGAGGGCATGAGATGAAATAGCTGCCTTATGTACAGGAAGCATCTGTCATACTTCCCACTGTGTTCGGGCAGCAGAGAAAAAGTGAGGGATTTGCCTGTCAGGAGTCTACCCTGTACCCTTTAATGCCACCGCAGTAGTTTTAACCATCCCAGCTAAACCTTCTCTCCCTTCCTCTCTCCTCTTCTTTCTCATCTTCCCTCCTTTCCCAAACAAATGGCAGGTTATGGTGAATGGGGCAGACAGGCTTCAGACAGGAGTCTTTCGCACTGGGACAGTCTAGCTGTGATGGGGGCAGCGGGAAGTGGAGGCTGTAAAAGGCACCAGGCAATAGGATCCTGTCATAAGAAAAGCTAACCCTTCTGTAGTGCTGGCTCTCTGCCAGGCACAGTTCTAAACCCTTGGCTTGCATTGCCTTGTTTAATCTTTGCAATAACCCTAGGAAGAAGGTGAATACTTCCCTTCCCGTTTTAACGGATGAAGAGATGAAGGCAGGAGGAAATTTAGTAATCTGCCCAGGGTCACACAGCTGGGAAGTTGTAGACCCACAATTCAAATCCAGCTGGTGGCTGCTGTCTCTTCCCCTGGTCCCTAGGCTGATGTGCAATAAAATATGAGTAAAGACTTCATTTAATGTCCACAGCCATCCTTGTAAGGAAGGCATTATGAACCATGTTTTGCAGATGAATAAGCCATTCCTCAGAGAGGTGATGAGAGGTGTTGAGTGAGGGAGCTGGAGTGAAATGAGGTCTGCCTGCAAAGCCTGCCTCATTGCTAACCTAATGTGGGGAAGTGTGTGTGAGTGTGTGTGCATCTGAGTGTGTGCATGAGTGTGTGCATGCATGCATGTGTGGTGTGTCTGTGTGGTGTGTCTGTGTGGTGTGTGTGCGCACATGAGTGTGTGTGCATGTGTGTGGTATGTGGGCAGTATGTGTGTGTGCATGTGTATTGTGTGTGTGGTGTGTGTGTGCACAAGTGTGTGTGCATGAGTGTGTGTGCATGTGTGTGTGTGCGTGTGCAGTATGTGTGTGTGCATGTGTATTGTGTGTGTGTGGTGTGTGTGTGCACAAGTGTGGAGTGCATGAGTGTGTGTGCGCGTGTGTGTTGTGTGCATGTGTGTGCAGTGTGTGCATACGTGTGAGTGTGTGCACATATGTGTGCGTGTGGTGTGCGTGTGTGTGGGTGGTATGCGCAGAGGAAGCAACACTTGGTGATCTGACCTCTGCGGGTGAGCGGGGCTGTCATTACCCCAGCACCAGGGCACATTTTACACTTTTTCCAGCTTCTCCATGGAACCTTAGCACCTGTACTACCGGCAGGAACTCTGATGAGGCTCATGTAGATCCTACATCTCCACCATTCCACGTGTCCACATACTCTGAGACCACGCTCCTGGCTTCTCCGGACCCCGCTCCGTTTCCATACCCCTGACCCTCACCTTCCTCCTGTATGTATCAAGGTACCATGTTCAGAATAGGAATTGATGCCGAGAGAGCCTGCCTGTCCATCAATCTGCCCCCCTGCCAAATATAACGCGAGCCACACACGCAACTTTAAATGTTCTACTGGCCACATGAAAAAAGTAAAAAAAATAAACAGATAAAATTGATTTTAAGAATATATTTGATTTGACCAGTGTATTCAAAATATCATCTTAACTTCTTATTTCCATAAAATTATCACTGGGCTTGCTAGGTGGTGCTACTGGTAAAGAATCCTCCTGCCAATGCAGGAGACATAAGAGACACAGGTTCGATCTCTGGGTTGGGAGGATTCCCTGGAGGAGGAAATGGCAACCCACTCCAATATCCTTGCCTGGAGAACCCCGTGGACAGAGGAGCCTGGCGGCCTACAGTCTATGGGGCTGCAAACAGGTGGACATGACTGAGCATCTGAGCCACACACACATACTTCTTTTGGGTTTCCCTGATGGCTCAAGTGGAAAGAATCTGGCAGACCAGAGTTCAATCCCTGGGTCAGGAAGACTCCTGGGGGAAGGGAATGGAGGCTAACTCCCATGTTCTTGATGTTCTTGAACTATTTTACATAACTTTTACAAGTGTTCAAAATCCAGTGTGTATTTTATGCTCACAGCACACCCCAACCACAGACGAGCCACATTTCAAGAGCCTATCATATCGGAGAGCACATCCTGGGGGCACTCAGATGACACTTATTCCAGAGTATAATTAAGGGCCCGAATCTGGAGATGTGAGTAAGCCACGGGCCCCACTAAGGTGCTGCATTTTTGTTTTTTCTTTTAAATGAGACTTGAATGAAACATGGTGTGGCTCAGATCCCATTAAAAGACAACAGTCATTGTCTCTACCCTCAGGCACTGAAAGGCAAGTAGGTTTCTAGATTGGTTTAATCTATGAGTCATGAGAGGCAATGCATGTCTGTACAAAGACATTAGCGTACTGGAGTCAGATATGAGTTCTAACTCCACACCCCAGTGATGAGCTGGGAGGGGAGGCTTGGGGAAGCCACCCAACTGCTCTGCATTCGTCTTTAAAAAAAAATGGGACAGTAACTCTCAGCTCCCACAGTCATTTTGAGGAAAATGATACGCTGTATGTAAACAGTTAGCACAGAGACGAAAGAATCACGAGTAAGGGCGAATTCCTCGTTAATTCAATGCTCGCCTGAGCTTAGGAGACAAAATGGAGATGCCCCTGGGTGGGAGGGTGACTCCCTGCCTTCTGTGACAGTGTAAGAAGGTGGCAGCCACCCAGGGCACATAGCCTCCGAGTGTCCACAGACGCTGCAAGGGGCCACGGGCCAATAACAGACTGACTTGGAGATGATTCAGACAAATGGAAAAAGGCCCCCTCTGCTAGCATTTTAATATGGAATTGGTGATACAGTGAACTAAAGGCAGCCATTAATTATACAGGGCTGTGCAAGTATTTCTATTTAGGGGCTGAGAGAGAGAGAGAACGGTCAGAGGCTGGCAAGAGGGAAGGAGAGGAGACGGCAGTTCCTCGGCCCTTGTCCCTCAGGCCCCTGGTGCTCCTGGTCCTGAGTGGCCTGGGATGGAGCATGAAGAAGACCGTCAGAGCACACACCATGGTGGGGTGGGCACTGCCCTGGCCCCTTCTGTACAATAACCCATCCACACTGCACACAGCGTCTGAGCGGTAAGAATCAGTTTTATCGAGGGGCAGACTCAGACGGTAAAGAGTCTGCCTGCGGTGCAGGAGACCCAGGTTCAATCCCTGGGTTGGGAAGATCCCCTGGAGAAGAAAATGGCAACCCACTCCAGTATTCTTGCTGGAGAATCCCATGGACAGAGGAGCCTGGTGAGCTACAGTCAGTGGGGTCTCAAAGAGTCAGACACAACCGAGCGACTAAGGAACCGACCTTCAGAACCTCAATGCTGCTTATCTA